AAACTCAATGATTTCAGGCTAGTGAAATACGAAACAAGAATAATACAACAGACATATGCAGCAAAACATGAATTGAATTTATTTAACTTGCGAACTGGAAAGTAAAAATGAAAGGGAGGAATATAAATGGACAGACATAAGTGAAAGTACATAAATGACTATTTATAATATACCATGTTGGAATTTAAATTAATTAATATTTACTCTTATGTGCAGATATATTATAATTCAATTCACTATTCCACGTGTTCAGCATTTTAGAAATTAAAGTTTAAAGGATGGAAAACAAGTTAACCTAGGAAATTCTTTGAAAGGTTAACTGTATACTCGGCTCGTCAAAGAATAGCCCACTTCCTTTATGAAAGTTATAGGTTCATCGTCATGTTCACAAAAGCCCACCACTGGACTCTATCCTGATCTAGCTGCATCCAGTTCACTCCATCTGTTTCCCTAAGGTCCGCATTAACTCAGTCGACAAACAAAAACAGCCAAACTTAAATCCATTAAACAGCGTGAGATCAAAAGATATCCAATGTTTTTGATACAAAAGCTTATCAATATTAAATGCCAAGTTAACAGAAACAATTTCTGACCTGAAACCGTCTGTCTTACAAAATGTCTGTGTTATGGCCCAAAGTCTTGAGTCCTCAAAACAGACTTTCGGATGGTGGGCTTCATGCACTCTTTTCTTATGTTCATGTAACAATGCACACAAGCTGAGAAGTGTTTATTACAAACATCTTTGAAAGATCATCATTCTTGTTGGAGGTGCACTGGCATTAAAATATCTGCAAAAATAATAAATTAAATAAACACACCCATCATATTTGTATCTTAGTACAGAAATGCTGTACAGTAGGGCACCGTTTATATGGCGGTTTAGGTAGGGACCAGACCCCCGCCGAAAAGCGGATCTTTGCAATTTTTTTCACTTGCAAATGCATATCAAAGCCTAATAAGATGTTACACTATCATATCGTAAGTGCACAATAGCGCTAGGCCTAAGAAAACGATATGAAAGTAAAATGAATATCAGTAGTACAAACATTGTGGCTCGTTTGATCTTCAATCCACACAACTAAAAGTTTTTCCATGTCAGCAATAAGGCTATCTCTTTTTCTTATGACTTTAGAGTTCATTCGTGTGGCACTTTTAATTTCATTTAACACTTTCTCCTTAGCGTTCACGATGGCACTAACAGTTTGGCGAGCTAGGCCTAGCTTACGTCCTATCTCGGCCATAGACATGCCTTGTTCACGAAGTTTAATTATATCTAACTTGGCATTTAAAGTAAGAGGCTTACGACTCCTCTTTTTATCGCTACTACCCTTAGACG